AAAGAGTTCAATCTTGCTTGAGGCAAGAAGTATGCGCAACAAACTATCGCAAAGAGCTTTTCAATCATTTTTCCACTCTTGAGTCTTGACACGGGAGAATATAGAGTCCAACTGTCTCTAGACACGAACTCTTCAATAGTGATGAAATTATATATTTTGGATGCATGTATACCATAAACAAGTTGAATAATAATAATAATATTACTAAAAACAACAACAACAATCCAGTTGAATCCCACTACAGTAGGGTCTGGGAGGGTGTGTGTACGCAGACCTTGCCCCTACTCAGAAGTAGGGAGGCTGTTTCCAAGAGACCCCCGGCTCAACCTGCACAAAAATATGGAAGGGAACAAAAGCACCAAGTACAATGAAATGAAAGTCCTGCAAGCAATAGCAAAAGATTCCAATCAAACACAACACACTACAAAACAACCTCTACAGCACCGAGCTCTTATCCAGCTACTCTAATCCTAGTTCTCTAAAGGTTCCTATCTAAGGCCATATCTTGAGTCAGGGTGAGAAGTCCTAAATCCTGCCTAATCATCTCCTTCCAATTCTTCCTAGGTCTACCCCTTCCCCTACTTCCCACGATAACCGTAATCCTCTCACATCTCCGTACAGGGGCGTCAGCATCCCGCCGTCTCACATGACCAAACCATCTCAACCTCGCTTCCCGCAACTTATCTTCCACCGGCGCCATGCCTACGTGACGTCGGATAACTTCGTTCGAAATCCTATCCAACCTTGTCTTCCCACACATCCATTGTAACATCCGCATCTCCGCTGCATGCAGACGACGCACATGAGTCTTCTTAACCGCCCAACACTCTGCCCCATATAACATAGCAGGTCTGACTACGGATCAGTAGAACTTACCTTTCATCCTGGGCGAAATCTTTGGATCACACAACACCCCTGAAGCTAACCGCCATATTACTAAAAAGAAAATTAAAAAATGATACATGTTCTTATCCTCATACAAGGTCTTTAATTTGTTCAAAAAGATTTCAAAACACCGCATCTTCAAGAAATTGATTCCAAAAATAACCTGATAGATATTATTCAAAGTTTTATGAAGGTCTTTAATATCATTCTGAATGAACGTCTTATTGATCTTTGTGGACGCTGCTGGAGAAATAAGTTTTAGGCCACCATCCTCAATTATTATGTCATTAGAAATATTTCCAAAGATTCTTTTGCCTTGGTACATAGTATTGAGGTTGACAAAAAAAATTTCGAATTTGATAGAATAGTTACTTAGGTTGAATTTGAATAAGAGACAATGGAACACTCACATAAATCTTCAAATAATATACTCCGTAATAAATATATAATCACGGCTCCAAAAACTAATTTATTAAAAATAGAAAATTAAAAAAATAAAAGCAACAACATAAAAATAATAAATGTAGCAAAGTAAGTCAAAATTCTGGTTGCACTTTTGTATAACAACTTATTATTAGTATTTGAAATAAATTAAATAATATACATACAGATAATTCTAGAGTATGATAAAAAAAATATTTTGCCTACAAAATTTCGTAAAATCTGATTCAATTCTCTCCTCGTTAATGGCTCTAAGACGCATTTTTCTCACAAAGTACTTCATGATCTGCGTAATATTCTCTATAAGTTAAGTCAATAATGTAAAGTAAATGTTAGAGTGGGCATACATATACACATACTCCTAGTGGGGCACACAATCATGACAAAAAATGACTGAAGGCGTGCTATTTTCTCTTCTCATTGTACAAACGCGATGCATGTTCTTTTTTAAGGGACGTGGTGGAAGAGGTGTGTGGTTCTAGAGCCTTTTGAAAGTAGGAACCGCATGGCGATGAGCTGGGTAGACATTACACAGGAGGTTCCTTTCTAGTAGGCTAGCCCATCCCTGAGTTTTTTTTTTTTAAATTACTCCATATTTAGGTAGTGAAATGCCGTGTAACATAGATGTACGGGCTTTGTTACTTTATGTATCTATTATTCGCATATTATATACCCGTACATAAAATACACATTATACTAATGAGTACATATATTGTATGTGAAAAAATTATTATAATACATACCAAGGCAATTAGGAATAATATCCATGTGATTTTCAAGACAATAAAGCAATTAGGAGATCTCTAGTAACTTGATGTTACATACGAAGTATATGTAGATTGCAATAGTGTGGTGATGTTACCCTAACCTAACCCTAGATACGTGACTTTAGTACCCTTTATCCGTAGGTTAGATGTATAAATAAGGGTCCTTATGTACTAACTATAGAAAGCTTCTTACATGATACCATTTTTATCCTTTTAAGCTGCATAATTCAATGTGAACATGTGAAAATAACACATTTGTGATACATTAGTCTGCAAACAAGATTGTGTATGATAAAGAGTGACACCTTCTAACTGGAATATAAGTGACATTTTCTCACTTTTTCCCAATGGCAAAGGCAACCAATGAAGACATATTCCGAGTGAAGAAGTATCGCCCACCGGGCTTGAGGTCCCATTCCTCGTTCTCATTCAGCAAATGGAACCCAGCAGCAATCAATTGTTGTTTTGCTTCCGCTATTAAAATGAAATCATCATTAACAACAACACCGTAATCTCAAATAATTGGGGTCAATGGCACATTGGTGTGAGACCCTTACAGCAACAACTACCCGGCATAATCCCAACTCTGTAAGGGTTCTAATTGGAACTGTGTGTTTACCAGCAATTTGCAATGCTTCAATATGTTTTGGAATTGATTGGAACTCAGATCATAAAAAGAAATTTAAAACTTTTAGATCATACCTGTGGCGTGGAACTGTGTCCATGACTCATTGAGGTAATCCAGAAAGTCCCCAACTATGGAAGAACTCGATTCAGAAGTCACCAAATCCTGAATTGAAACCAACTCTTGTAAACGAACCGAGCTTGGCATATATGTATGAATAATACTGTACATATAACAGAGGGAATGAGTGTGCGTGTGAGGAATTTACCTCCGGGACCGCCTCAGGCGAGAAGGAGCGGAGCGAAGGAGTGTGAGATAAATTGCGGGGGCGAGCGGTGCGGATATTTGTCTTGACGGCGGAGAAACGCCGCAGGGAGTGACGAAAACCCGATAATAGCATCGACGGTTTGTAGATCGAGGAGGGATAAAGGTGGAATGGAACGACCGGCGCCATTTTCGCCTGAAGGCTGAGCTCGCTACCTCTACAATGGCAACTGGCTAAAACGACGGTAGAATACTTGTCACCTTCCACTCCAATTTTGGCATCCTTAACACAAAATTACTCATGCTTTTTCTATTAACAATTTTTAGGTGCCTTGAAATTTACTACCTCCGTTGTCCACTTTCATTTTTTATACCCTTTCCAATATACATCTTTAATCCATTTTATTTTGTAATTTGTATATTAAAAAATTATAGAAATTATATATTAATAATTTAAATATTAAGACAAATCAAACAAGATCATACATGACTATATTTAGTCTTACATATTGAGAGAATTTGATGAGTCAAAGTGCTTAGATGAACAGTTTCAAAAGTTAAAAGTAGACGAATACTCCGACACGGAGGGAGTATTTCATTATGCTTCATTTTCTATTAAGAATTCTTACATCCCAAATTATTTAAAATAGACTATGTGTTCTTAAAATTTATAATAATGTAAACCGATTTACATTCTATAAATTTATACTAATCTAAACCGATTTACATTCTATCTATTTAGCTATTAAGATTGAAAATTTTATCACTTTTACACCTACTAAATTTCATATTAATAGATATTATTTTATTAAAAGAAAATCTATTTGGATACAAGTAAAAAAGTATGAAAATGCGTAAGAAGAAGTAATTTCCTGTATAAATGTAAAAAACTATGAAAATACTAAAATATGAGTCATAAGTCTTTCAAAATCAAAATAGAAGTTCACATTGTCATTCGTACACTGTCACGCTCACCACATTATCACATTGTAACTGTCACATTATCAACGTCACAATTTAGGAATATAATTTGGGTATAATGAACGAAAAGGTTTACTCCCTCCGTACCCAATTTGATTACAAATTGCGGGTTACAGGGTAAAATTTTCAACTTTTTGAAATCATTTTATTTACAAATTGGTATATCAATAAGATATAAAAATTACATATTCAAAAACTACGTCAAAAATTCTACAAACAAGAGGTGACAAGAATATTTTATTTAAGACTAAAATCCATCATTGGTCCTTCAATTTTATGAGTTGTGCACGATTGGTCCTTCAAGTTTTAAAAGTCCATAAATAGTCCTTCAATTTTATGAGTTATGCACGATTGGTCCTTCAAGTTTCAAAAGTCTTTAAATAGTCCTTCAGGTCTATGTCAGCCTCCCAGATGAAGTTCTTTTGACAGTAAATATTAAAAGTTAAACGAAATACTAGTTTCATATAATTCGAGTAAACTCCACTAGGTACAACTACTCTGTATTATATGGAGCTAGTATTCCATCTAGCTTTCAACATTTATTGTCAAAAGGACCTCATTTGGAGGATTGACGTGTACTTGAAGGACTACTTATGGACTTTTAAAATTTGAAGGACCAATTGTGCATAACTCATAAAGTTGAAGGACTATTTATGAGCTTTTAAAACTTGAAGGACCAATCGTGCACAACTCATAAAGTTGAAGGACCAATGGTGGAGTTTAGCCTTTATTTAATCAAATACTTTATGAAATCGTGCAAACAAACAAAAGTTATCGAGAGAAAGGAGAAAAAAATTGTAATCTAATTAGGGACGGATGGGTAAGATTCTCTACAATTTGGATATAATTATTCAATTTTGTCATGAATTTTTTAAAACAAACTACTCCTATTCAGTTAATTTGCTTTCTCTCACGTTTTTTTTGTAAAATTGAAAATCGTTCCGCTCACTCGATTTTTTCCGATAAGGAGTAATAATAATATGAGTAATATTTCCGATCCAGCGATTAACTGTAAGTATGTTCTGAAGATCTTCGGAAGAATACTCTTTGGAAAGAATTTTGGGATCTTGTTTTCAAATTTGATACCCGAGAGATTCAATTGAAATCGGATAAGAAAAATCAAAGCATTGGATTCATCATTTCAATCGTCGCCGGATCGATCGATGGCGAAGGAATTCAACGTCCCGCCGGTAGTCTTCCCGTCGGGAGGAAACCCGGGCCCACAACAGAGGCGTCTTCCGACGGCGCCGTTTCAGCCGTCCAAGGCGTCCACGCCGAGCATCCCGTTCATGTCATTCGACATCGGCTCCGCCGCCGCCTCCTTCTCCACTCCCCAGTTCGCCCCGGCCGCCACGGAATTCGAGGACGAGCCGCCGCTTCTGGAGGAACTGGGGATCAACACGAAGCAAATTTACCAGAAAACCCTCTCGATCCTCAACCCCTTCCGCGTGAAAGCCTACCTCCACGAGGACGCCGATCTGTCCGGTCCTTTCCTCTTCCTGATGGCCTTCGGCCTCTTCCAATTGCTCGCCGGAAAGCTCCATTTCGGGATCATCCTCGGCTGGGTGATCGTGGCTTCTTCATTCCTATACGTCGTCTTCAACATGCTGGCCGGCCGGAACGGGGATCTGGATCTGTACAGATGCGTGAGCTTGATCGGGTACTGCATGTTGCCCATTGTCATCTTGTCTGCAATCTCTCTGTTCTTGCCCGGAGGGACTGTGATCAATGTGGCAGCCGGGGTGTTTGTTCTCTGGTCTACAAGAGTCTGCACTAAGCTTCTGGTTGAGTTGGCTTCTTGCGGAGATGAACACCGCCGCCTCGTCGCATATCCTTGCTTCTTGATCTACACATTTTTCTCTTTGCTTGTGATCTTTTGATCCTTTTTTTCTTGGCCTTAATGATTATATTTGTTGTTCTAAGTATGGAACCCAATCTTTATTGACATTGGGTTTCAATTTAGGGGTGAATAGTGTAGTTTGAAACTTCTCATTGTCAATAAACATGCAATGCTAACATTCTATTTTGGCTTCTTGTTGCTTATAGGGTCTAAAGTTTTGTTAGTTTGTTCCATAATTGGAGTTTTTAAATGGCACAATGCAATGTTGTGAGACGTAGTGAAATGTCCCGAGACAATGTGCCCGTGAGATGCAACGACATGTAACATAATGTAATTAATAGTTTTGAAAATCAACGATTTTAACTGAAAATGTGTATTAGGTGAATTGCGTAAGAAAATCATTTTGAACTCATATGTTAAAGCGGTTTCGATTTTGAATTTATGTCGTAAGGTTTCGGTATCAAACCCGAACATACCATTGACCCCATTCTATACCTTATTGGCAATCTTTCCTTAACAAAGTACCTTAATGGCTTAATGGTAATTGTCATCTCATGTCATTACATTTAAAGAAGTATAAAACACTAATCAAATGAAATACTTTCTAAAATTCAAATATATTAATCAACACTCAAGAGACCATGAAGATAATAGATGTGTGAGGATACGACTCGCGAAAGTTATGTATCCTACCACCTATGTATGAGGAAGAAACCTCCTTCTCAATCTATCAACTTCCTTATCACTCAGTGCAAAACTCTTCATCAACAATTCTTCTCTTATAGAACTTCCAAACAGGGCACTGGGGAGTTTCACGAGCCCCGGGTTTTGGCTATTAAAACTCCCTAGTATAGCCGCGGGTGAATCCCCGACATTCATCTGAAAGTGAACCAATCCTCTTGGGAACACCATCACCTCCCCTCTCTCCAGCACTCTCGCAAAAACCCTATTCGAGGAATCAACGAACCCCGAGTAGATCCTACCCTCCAGCACGAACATTGTCTCCGTGGCCCGCGGATGTAAGTGTGGCGCGTTGACGCCCCCAACGTCAAAATCGGCCCGAACAAACGACACGCCCAACGTGTGTAGGCCCGGGAAGACAGCTGAGTTCACCTGATTCGCAGCAAACCCGGTATGCTTGTAGTCCCCCGGGCCTTTTATGCCTGAATAGACAAAGTCCTCAACGGTGACGACTGTCGAGTTCTTGCATGACGGGAAAATAGATGAAAATTCTGGAATCGGGATGCAGTAGTCGAGGAGAGGATCGGGATCCGATGCTAGGACATCTCTCTTGATCACTTGAAGGAGGAAAAAAGATAAGCAGAAATAGGTTGTTTTAATGCCCATGGCTATGTTGTTTGTCTCAATATTATTGAAGAATGAATGGATGAATGTGTAAAGAATATATAGATGGGTATTTAAAGTACTGATTAGCACTAATCAACCAAACACACAACTACCGCATAGGGGCATGTACCTTTTGCTTGGAGTTTATTGATAAAGTTTGATAAGAAAAGAATCTTTTTTCAACCCAAAAAAAGAAGTCTTTGTTCACAAGAGTGCAACTCTACCAGATGTTTTTCTAAATTTAATTATTTTTTAAACTAAATTTAATATGCACAATTTATTTGTGACGATGTTTTTTATTACTCCGTAAAAAAAATAAAACAAAGGGATATATGATGAAAAAAACTTTTATTCACACTGAAATTTTGTTTAGGACAAAAATAACTTTAGAAGTATGGACTCTTTTTATGGGAATCAAGGAGTGAGTATGAGAGTAATTCTTGAAATTTACATTTTCTTTTTGGAATTTCTCAAAAATAAAACGTATAGTACATAATTACTTTTCTATCGGAGTATTAATTAAGAGAAGAAACATGTATGTAGCTCATAAAATTTACTCATTTTTATAAAAATTTAACTATATGCACCAGGTATGTTCATTTAATTTGTTTTAAATTTCGTGATGTTAAATTATAAATTTAATGTGTATAAGCTTGATTGTTTGAATAGAAAGAATGGTTGAGTAGATATTGGCAAGTCATGTGATGTGCATTTGAAGTAATGTTCTTTGCTCGCCAATAAAGACAATGTATTATCAAATTTATCATGATGGCCATCACCCAACACCTTATCTTTGGAGCCTAACTAGTCTCGCCATTCTAATAAAAAAATTAAAAAAAAATGTCCATTTAGTAAATAAATTTTTATTTTTTCAATGTCAATTATATTTAAGAAATTAACCCATAATAAATTACTCGTACAACATAATAAAAAATTTGTTGACCTGAAATACACCGTATACCGTATACACATGAATTATACGGACATCCCTTATGTTTGGGTATCATCTACTTCGAAACCAACATCAAGTCCTATGTTGTGGAGGCACTTTCACCATTTTTTTTGTCAAACCATTAGATAAAAGTGTTTTTTTTTCATTTTCAATTAAAAACAGCTACTCCTTGAAATATGTCATCCCAAATGCTCTCCACATTACGTTACAAGACATTTTCTTTTGAGGTGTATGAGAAGTGATGGAGAATTAGACAGATATAAGACACGAAAGGTTGAAAGAATTCCAAAATGACGGAATAATCCCACGAATTTATTGATGACAGAGAAAAGGAGAGTCACACTCACAACCGGTTACACTGAACATGTTGCATGCACATCAGCATATATGTAAAGTTGGAGAGTTCTGCCTCTGTTTTTTTGGGTTAATATGCAGAAGATATCAGCAAAATGAGGCCGACACAAGTCCTTGCAGAGTGGATTGGTAGAAGAGTTCTTTGATTGGGGCACATAATTAGATACTGATTAGTAGCTGTCTTCGTCCGTTTCAGGTCTTCTGAGGTAGTAGCGCAGGCAATTTACCAGAACCTGCATTTTAACTTAACTTGTAAGGCAGATATATAGATAGAAGACAATAAAAGGAAAGCAGAAGCAAGAGGTGAGATGGATAAACAAACATGCATTCAGTTGGTGATTTAATGAGCTGTGTTTTTTTAATTCCTCTTTTAAAGGGGGGAACTTGTAAACTGAGTAAATATCACCTTTATTTCTCTATAAAAAATGTGTCAATGTCAAATGTGTTTTACATTCTTACCATGAGGTAGAGATGGAGTTATGAGCTACCAACCTTCTTATCCTATACAATCCTAAACTCAACCGCCTGTCTATGACTTAGCTTGATCAGTTGACACTAAGGGCCTGTTTGGTTGCGGGATGTTGGAAGGGAGGATTGGTATTTGTTTTACTAACTTATCTCCATATGTTAGTCTCGAACTAGATAATAACTACGGGTATATGTTTAGTTAAATTGTGTATTTCTATATAACTTTTCATCCTCGCTCTCTTTCCAACCACCTAATGTAGGAGTGAAATAAATCATTTAATATCACTCATTCACTCATCTCCATATGTGGGGTATGTTTTGTGTGCGATCAGCCAATCACCAACTCTAGGTGATTGATGGCTAAATGCTTAAGATAAGAAAATGATTGTTTATAGGTTTACCTGAGACAAGGATTTGTTCAATGCTGCCCCTCTATAACTGACATAAAACTTGTCTTTGGCTATAAGGCCCTACATAGAAAAGAAGAAGATAAACATCAGTCGGGACTAAGGAAACACATATATGCATCCACTTTCATACACCAGTGGCGAGTATAGAACATACTTCTGTATCAATTTCGGCCGATTCAACATCAACATTAACATCACCCATAATTTTGATTATTTCCATCAGCAGCCCAGATCGATCAGCAGTTTCGACATATAGCATGCTGGAACGGCAAAATAAAAGGCCCATGTATGCTAAAAATGTTAGGTCAACCTATATTAGTGAACAATAACTTCATTGAAAGTTGAAAAATAGAACAAACTAAAATTTAGCATGAGAACACCATAACATAGTTATATCTATAGCTCCACTGCACAAGAAATCCTCACCTCCTCTTAGTTCCTTCGTTCTCAACATGAATGTGGGTTGCAACATCAATATCAGGCTGTCATGATTCAACAAGTCAGATTCCCAAGGGCATATAAGTGTAGTGCATTTATACTTTCGAACAAGATACAATATTATCAAGAAACTCATAGTCAACAACTATATTTTCTTAATGAGACTTTGAATAATCTGATAGCACCATAGGGTATTCGTGTATAAAACAAATGTGAATACAAGAACAACCTAGTTGAATCCCACAAGAGTAGGATCTGGGGAGGGTGTGTGTACAGGCCTTACTCCTACTCAAAAGTTCCAAAGAGACCCACGGTTCAGCATCAAAAATTGCATTGATTGACTAACCGCTACTTCATTAATTAAAGAAGCGCAAACAGTTCAGAGATCTATTTTACGTTATTCCATCACACCCCAAAGCAAAAAAATAGTGAATTTTTGACTCCATAAGAGATGATTGAAATAAAAAAATGTGAATAATGGAAAACAAATCAACCAAGCATAAAACATAGGGGCGCAAATACTGTACACTGTTAAAGAGCAGAGCATGCACAGAATGTATTTATTAAGAGCGGTTGATTGTGAATTGAGATGGAAGGTTAGTTGGTATTAGTTGCATAGCTTTAAACCTAATTCACCCTTACAGCACATGCACAGGCTCCAACCCTTCATTATGTGTAGGGTGTTTTGTGTGTGTTCTGTGAGACTGCGGCCTGCGCGTACTAAGTATTAGTATAAGAGTGCTCCCTTGTGTTCTATTATTGTAAATGGTATAAGAGCATTTTACCCCATTATCAATTGTTGCCTTGTTGGTATCAGAGACATGGTTCAGATAGGAAGCTAAGATTGTGTCTATATGATTGAGGTAGTAAGCTGGATAGTAATGGTTAAGCAAGGTTCAGGACTGTCACTTAAGCTATTATTTTATTACATACAGGTATAACTGGCCTAATGGCAAATCTTAGCCCAACATTTGTGTGGGTTGGATATAGTTTCCCTCAATGGTGTTGTTACTGGAATAACAGTGTGCCGATCATTATGTGTAAAAGGAACAACTTATTTTAAAAGAATGCATGAAGAGAGAGAGAGAGAGAGAGAGAGAGAACACTGTGCTGGAATTTCTGAAATCATCAACATACTGTGGCATCACTAGAATGTTGAATGCAGACACAGATAGAAGGGGAGGGGGGATTAAGTATGAGTAGTTTCTAGACCATCCACCTTCTTTTCTGGTGCTTTTATTCCAAACGCTTCACCCATAGCAAGCCACTCACTAGACTCCTGATATCACAATAAGCTAGTAATTATTGAGGAGAAAGAATCTAACAATCACGGGAAATATGAAGTACAGAGAAAGATACTAATGGTTCAATCCAGCCGTGTTCTCTTAGCTTTAGGATTCAAAGGATAAGGAAATCAATTAGGTAAACATAGTTAACATACTGGGTGATACTTGATCAGATTGTTGATGATGGTCAACCGAATCCTTTCCAGCAAATCAGGATCATCAACTTTTCGCCCAGTTGCACTAAATCAAAATATATACAGTCAATATAAAATATGCAAAAATGAAAAAAACAAAAGAAAAAAAACTGCATGTTAAGGTTATACTCTCTTCTGCAAAATGTCTACCAGGCATCACAAAAATTATTTATGCTTGATTATGCACATAACAAAAATAACTCAGTTCTTAAAATAAAAGAAAAAAACTTTTGTTTGATTAAGATACAACATTTATAATTTGGCTAGGTGCAATTGTTAACAGCCACAAAACCATATTTGCATTCTTAAAATCTATTTGTTGATTTAACAAATATATAACTTTTTTGGCAATGCGTACATCTTGACCTTTCAGATTGCAACAGAAATGGGATTATACTGAGTTTGTTGTTGACTTGTTGTATAACATTTTTGGCAATTTAATGGAAAAGTACACAAAAAGATTGCCATTGTTTGCTATTAATATGATTCTTATTTGGGACCAAGAGCTTATGAAATAGAACATTTAAAAATGGGGAAATCGTAACCTTCATCTAAGTCACACCAAATAATACAAGTACGAGAAAAAGAATCACACTCTTCTGGCTGGTATTTTAAGATGACACAATTTCATTCAAAATGACAAATCAAGGATCACATATTCAAAATGTAAGACTAATTTTTTTATCTCACTAATTTACAATGGCAGTAATGAATTGGTCACTTACGGTCGTGTAATAAGAAACTTTGTCCTTTTAACGGAGCCCTCAGTAGTAACAATGCCTTTCTTAACATCCAAGCCTAAGTCGTTTAGTGCCTTCATCTGAATTACAGGAGATAAGAACAACTCATTAGTTGAGATCTGTACGGTTGCTCTTTAGAACAGCAGCATCAATTGGTATCCTAAAAAAATGCTTTGGAAGAATTTATACACAAACACACACACACCACTAGCCAACTGACAACTAAAGCAACTAGATTACAAGTGATTTAAGAATGTATGCACAAACAAACAAATGTTGTGTATAGAGCACTTATAGCAAGACACTTGTTAATTGCAGCATCTTAAAAGGTAACAGAATACTGAATTAGAAAATTAATTGTTTCCAGACCCTCTTTTCATGTTTGTGTGAATAGTTTAAGATTGCCACTGTCCTCTCAGTCTTCATCCCACTTGAATAATACTCAAATATGGATGAAGGGCAATAGAAAAGAGGATAAAACAAATGAAATCAGCGAATAATGTATTCCGTATACTATATGGATCCTCATAGGCAAACATAAGTGTGCTCTAATGGTGCAAAAAAATGGTTATATCATTAGAATAAAGTGTATTGCCTTATTTGGTGAATGACACTATCTTTTAGTCACTTTCTACTTGTGCATTAATGAAACAGGGATAATCCAAGACATCACCGTGTCAATGAGGGCACCCAGGCGATCTCCAAAGCTAACTTCAACGACAGTTGCATCACTTTCAGGATCTTGAACTATTTGAACGATTGGTGTTGGAACATGAAGAGACTCCTCATAATTCTGAAATGACAATATGTATTCAGTGGTATTAGTTTTTAATCAAAATATTGGCTAATATATCACTTGCATTTTTACTTTTTTCTGTTATAGTTGAGTGCCTTCCTGGCTTCCTAAAACGTCTAGTTGATATACAACCAAAAGTCTCAAAAAAATCATGTCCAAGTGATCTAACTGTTTATTTAACTAATTTTCTAAACAACGTACAATGGTTTTCTTTCTGTGGTGCATGGACACTCCTAGAAATACATAGTATAACTTTTCATGTCAGACACGCGTGTTGTACACCCTCGGACACCTCTCCCGAGGTAAACTTTTGAAACATTGTGAAGATGTGCACCTGTGTCATGCCATTATCGTCGTGCATGTGCATCATAAGCTTGTTTCTCTTGAAGCAAGCCTTTATATTTAAGCATAATGTGGCTCCCAGGGGAGCAGTGGTACCCCCACGCCCCTCAGCATGCTTTCATTATTTTTTAGAACCTCAACTTCTAGTCTTGTATAATCTAATCTCCCCCAAGTGTAATTTCCTTGAAATACTAAAATCTAATCTTCAATATCATGTCATTGAAAAATGCATCAAAGAGTATTTATTCTTTCATTTATCTTTTAAATTTCTCCATATTATAAACAGCTAGCACCGATTTTAGCTTCGATCTTGGAAAATGATAAGAGTCATATTTGGAAAAAGGCTAAGAAATCTCAAAAATGACTGAAAAAATTATCCTTACTCTACTATGAATCAATAGGAACTCCAATGATAGAGTGCAATGAATTCTCAACCTCATCAAGTACTTGCAGTGGTGCTTGCTCAAGCAACTAGAGAAAAATAACATACATGTAAAAGCTGGAAAAGAAACTTTAACTCACCATTTCCTGGGAATAGGTCAATGAATCCACACCATCTACAGCGCAAGAAACGGCAACCCTGTAAAATATCTTACAAGATATTCATATGGCCAAGTCATAAGAGGGGAGCAAGAATATATCTACATGTCCAACTTTGCACTTTGCAATTTTCACATTGAACAAGTAGTTAGATTCTAGATTCATAACACATGATTAAACCCACTAGTGCTCCCAAAAATGAATCACCATATGAAGCATTAACTGGTTTTTTTATAAACATTTATGGAAATAAAATTTCTCAGAACTTGATGATTCTGATAACAAACAGAGCATTTATACATACTATGAATTAATGGTTTACGAAGTATATACTAAGACCCGGTGATAGTTTATCAGAGATGCACAAGTTAATTAACAACGCAAATTAAATTGCACACAGGTCGCTCTCTTGCGAACAAGTTATGCCAAATAACCGAAAACGTGATAACAGTCAAAAAACGAAAGGAAAATTTTATCTCGCTGCCTTTCTTCTTTGTAAAATACATTTTCCGAGGAAAAGCGGCTGTTCCGGCGATGGAAGTTCGACGGTGAGGCGTGGAGCAGAGCTGGTGCAGCGCGAACTGCCGACGGACGGCGTCGGAGTCGGCGTCGAGAAATGCCGATCGCGGTGGAGCGACGGCGGGGGTGATGAGAGCGTTGGCTAGAGCCATGGGAATGGAGGGGTACGCGGTCAGTCAGAAACGGAGAGATTTGGACATTGGGATATGGCTGCTTTGGACAGCTATTGTGGATGTGTGGGACTGTGGGCCACATACGCCCATAGTCTAGTCATCTAGTGCCATATGTCAACTCTATCCTATGGAGTATATGCTACCCATTATCCTATATACAGCCTATATCCTAGGTATGAATTTAAAGAAAGGATGAACTCACCTCTCAGGGCTCCTCAGACCCGATCGAACGGTTACTGAGAGGAACTAAATTGAGCTTTAGTTATGGATTGGTAAAAAAAGTGGAACCTGTACCTGGTATTTACAGAGGTCATATGTTTAAAATAGTAAGTGTTACCTCATTAGCATCTCTTGCCTTGCCAACTATTCAACGCTCTTTGACTCTAGGTATGAATTTTAGAGGTAAATGAAGAGTTTTGAAAAACAAAAGGCACCGAGAAGGTAATATCCGATTTTGATTCCTGATAATTACGTTAGACGATAATTATGTTAAACATAAGATCTATACAAATGTTCCACGTCCAATCGTTTTGAGAGGTCTTCGAGTATGAGGTTCATATTACGGAGTATATTTTTTTTTGAAAAATCTAAAAATAATGATATACTCCGTATGTTCTTAAATTTGAAATTAAATTATTTGAAACTTTTGAAGTTTTAATAGCCAAAATAAATTCTACAAACTCTTGATTGAATACACCCCACCCTATCCCACCCCCTCCCCTCCCCTTAATTAATGATAGGATGAGATTACTGGTAATGGGGATGGTTGTTGTTGATAGTAGTAACCGCGGTGACAGGTGATCAACTATTAAAAAAGATATCAACTCTTTTATTGATATCTTTCAAATTTGGGAGATATGAGATCTACCATTTCGAAGTATTTGTTATTTGGAAATATCAAGTTTGATATCTCTTTATGCTTCACCAAGTACAAAAAAATTATTGAAGATATCAGAATTATATTCATATTTTATTTAATCATTGTTGACCTGTTCATCCCAAATCGGCAATGCAGCCTTATACTGTGCTGTTATTTAATAGCTTGAATACCTCAACTGTTTGAGTTAACTTTTTTGGTTGAATTGGGACTAAAACTATGTTGAATTGGGACTAAAACTATTGTTTCAACATGGTATCAGAGTTAAGGCTTTGATGTTGGGACCGCGCTGCAGTAATCTGCGTCTCGTGTGAGGGGGGCGTGTTGACTTGTTCATCCCACACCGGCAATACACCCTTATATTGTGCTGCTATTTAACAGCTTGGGTATCTCAACCTTTTGAGTTAATTGTTGGGTTGAATTGGGCCTATGTCAATTGTTCCAACACTCACCAAAATACCGTGAATATTAGTGGTTTGCCCTTAAAGTTAAACTTTGGTGCTCTAACGTAACTATTTTTATACATACTATTCAGCTCACCACATTGTATTCAAACTAAAAGAAATATTGACCTCTTACTTAAATAAAATACTATTTAAACTCACTAGTTTTGTCATTACTATCTTGATTTAGATTTTTTCAAAGTGTCATACAAGCGGAATCAAACCCTCAAATTAGTCAAATTCATTTTAAGGTGATATCAAGTCCATTCATCTTAGAAGAAATGTTTATGCATGGGAGTAAAATTATATAAAAATATTAAAATAATATCGATATAGTTTTAATTATCTAAATATAGGTGTGATAACAATGTGGTGACGATTTGACAGAGTGAGGAGTGAGAGCGTGGTGGTAGAGTGTGTTTGTAGGGCGGTAGTGGACTAACAGAGGTTAACGTCAGCCACCCATGGCAGCGGACAATAGCTAGTACTCCTTTTGTCCTAAAATGTTCTTCCCGGTTACTTTTTATATGGTCAAACTTTAATCATTTTCTTTACCTATTTTCATCATCAGGTATTTTTACACCTACAATCAGATAAATTGAATTGAAAATAAAATCGATCAGACCTCGTAAACATAAACGAGAAGAACATTATAGGACAGAGTTAGTAATAGATGATAGTGTGATAGTTCTTCTTTTAAGATCATTTTCTACACTCCTATTTAAAAAACTTGATTTTGATATTTTCATATAAATTTACTTTTATTCAGGAAATTTAAGTATATCTTGTTAGCATAAACAATCAAATTTTAAGCACATAATTTTTATGTGCTGAAAAGAAATTTATTTATAGCTAGAGATATTCATTATCAAAATATAAGAAATGTGGCGGTGGGCTGGTGGCTCTCTCGCATTCGCAGAATCGCACCATTAATCTTCACAGTACGAATTGAAACTCTTCATCTCTGCGCTGCCTTTTACGATATCTTCATCGAAAAACTGCCCGATTCCGCAATTTTTCTCTTGGGAACTCAATGGGTGTTGGGATATCAGTGCTGGTAGCCCTAAAGGCAGCAGCTTTGTTCACAATATTTGTGCATCTCAGAAATCTAGGGTTCGTATTGCTATCAGTCCCAATTCTTTATGCTTCTCTAATATCCATATTGATTTCACTAGCCTCACACCCGTCAATCAATCTCCCAATCCTGCTGGGGAAAAGATCCGATGGGACTTTCCCACTCTGGTCCCTTGCAATGTTCAGCCCATACTTATATTTCGTGAGGGCTTTCTCTGCACTGAGGAGGAAGAAGAGTGGGGAGCCTCCTTACAGTGAGATATGTGAGGGTTTGTATGTTGGAGGGTGGCCTTCTTCCCGCGACAAATTGCCGCCGGGTAAGCCTGCTATCATTGATTGCACATGTGAGTTGCCAAGGAGGATGGAGCTCTCAGGAAATCATGCCTATTTTTGTGTGCCAACTTGGGATACTAGGTCTCCTCAGCCAGCTGATATCGAGGAAGCTGTGAAATGGGCTTGTCGAAAAAGAGCTCAGAAGGTTCCTGTGTTTGTTCATTGTGCTTATGGTATGATGATTTAACTCTCAAGCTATAATGATGTATAGTAAAATACATTTGTGGGTTTGTGATGATACGTGATGATGACGAGGGATCTGTGATTTCATTGTGCTTAGAAGGTTCCCATCTTTCGTTACAAGATTGTGAAACCTGACATATATGTTACAATAAATTTCATGTTACCATTCCCAATGTGATTAGGACTAAGGAGATGAGGATGATACCTGGAGGGCTATAGGGAAACCTAAGTCTCTTAGAACCAATCTCTTCCAAAAAATGCAAGGTTTGCCTATGTCACGATCTTATCGTGGGACCCTTTACGGATCCTTGCACGGTGAGATACTTCGTGTACTGGGATGCTGCCCGTCTATAGCAATGATACTTAACATTAGATGAGAAGAACTCTCTGCTGCCTTTTAAGAGTTAGTACGATATGCAGGATGTTGAAAATTGCATATGACAACACGGGTTTTCGCAATTCTTTTTGTAGCATCATCTTCCCAAGAAACCATGATTGTTGGCTTTTTCTGCTGTTGCGCAAAATAAGCAACTTTTGACTTCTTTGGCTGAAATGGGTGTTACAAGATGCTTTTTCTCGTTAACCAACGGACTCATACATGTGTAGCCCATTTTGAGCCATTTCTTCAGCTTGTAGTTGTAGTCAAAGGGGAATTATATTTATAGAGATAGTGGTTTTTGATTTTTTGTTAGTCTCTTCGAAACCACATCTCTACTCTCAAGTAGGGTAAGGTCTGCGTGCACTCACCCCCAGACCTTACTTTTTCATGGGAATCTACTGGGTTTGTTGTTGTTGCTGTTGATATTGATTTTTGTTAAGCGTACTATATATGTCTTTCCTTTTTGCTTGAGCTATATATATTAAGATAAATGTACATATCGATTCTTTTTTAGGTCACGGGCGAAGTGTTGCAGTAATGTGTGCGCTATTAGTAGCTTTGGGTGTTGCAGAAGATTGGAAGAGCGCAGAAAAGTTGATCAGAGAGAGGAGGCCTTACATTAGGATGAATGCCCTCCACCGCAAAGCTTTAGAAGAATGGTTGAAGGATCGCATCGCCTTTTCAGCTGAAAAATGAAATCGGCATTACTACTCTGGTTCAGGCTGAACACTCTTAGCTCTATATGGGCTTTTCAAAATGTTGCACTTTTGGTACTTCTCATGGGTCTACTTGTATGAAATTCAACATATTCAAACCATACCTATTCTTTCATCTCCATAAAATTGCAGATGTTTGAACCACTTATACTAGTTCATGTTTCTTTTGCTTGATTTTATGTAAAGTGTTAAGCAGAGCAAGTTACATTTGCTTGAGAGAGATATGTGAAGTTTGTGAACATTATATGGAAGTAATGATTCTGTATAGCTATTTTCATACATTTGTTAAGAGCATGTTCTTGTGGAGTAATATATTGTAATCCTTCCTAGTTTCTTCAAACTCGTCATATTATTTGTCTTCACTTTCAAGCAATTTGCTTCACCAAATAAAATTGCTTCAAACTTTCAAGCAAGTAGAAAGAAAAACCAGTGTAATCACTCTCATAACTTTTTTGTTGAACAAAGCATTAGTTTTAAAATTTGAAATGAAAAGATCTAAAATCTCGTATGGGTGTTTGAACTTTGAAGAGATCTGAGATCTGAGTATTTGAAATAAGGAAAATTTCTATTGAGACATGCCAAAATTGAGAAATGATCTAAACCACACAATTCATTCCATTAAGAGATTGAGCAACTTAATTCTTGGAACACTCCAAAAATTAAGTAAAAAATTACTCCAAGAGTATTAAAAAAAGATTCTTTTTACAAAAAATGGACGAATTCCATCCTTAAGGTTCTCAAGACCTCCCACTCCCACAAGACCAGCCCAATAGTTACTTTGGAAGAGGTAAATTGAGCTATATGATTCTTTTTACGAATGTGCATAAGTGTAGAACATTAAGAAGGAAACATTTTATTTTAAACTCAATAGGGAGTATTATTTACAGCAAATAGCTAAGTTGAGCCAAATAAAAATGGCATATGACTGCATACAATTTAAAGAACATATCACATGGAAGAGAGTAGCGAATTTCACACGAAGTGGAGATTTGCAACTAGAAACATATCACATGTATGAAAAGCTCATCACATATATGCTTGCAGCCGGGCAAGTAAAGAAATGAAATGAGTACTATGTTTGTGGTTTACTGTGATGAATCTTAGCGGCTTCTGCACTAGTTGTGGTCATGAATGATTCTCCACAGCCACAATGTCCTTTTGCATTTGGGTTGATGAAGATGAATTCAGACCTGCAAAAAAATGAATATGTTGAGAGTTAGGGACTTCGCCATTCCTGGCTATGCACGCATTTTCACAATCATCTGCAACATGTCAATCCTGAAGCCTGTGCATTTGTTTTAATAGGATCAATATATTCGTTTGAGACTTTGAGCTTTTTATGCTGTGAGATGATAGAAAAGTTTGTAATTTCATCCTAAACAGCAAATCTCGCAAAAGGGGTGGTTTCAGACCTTATGTGTTGGTTCTTGTATTTACTGGAATGTACTATATTGGTATAAGATGATTTAACAGTTAAAGACATCACCTCCAACTGGATGCACATTTTCATTCTTCCAAGACAATTTTTTTTCTTAAACATAACCTTACTATACATTTATTCAATATAAATCCTATCAGAATGCTACTTCAAACATAAACAAACTTCAGAAAGTGTTGATCCAACTATCCAAGTGAGAATCTAGGAGAGAAGGCGAAACGCTCCACCACGATCCAGCTCGCAGCCTTGCACATAAATTTGTATTAATTTCTCTTAATGTCATGTTTGAATTGGGGGAATTCAAAGGAAGGGGACAATAGGGAAAACTAAAATTCAATAGACAAGTGTGCATAAGATTTTACAATTACATGTTCTTAGCATACATTCTATTCAGTGTCCACATAAATGTGCACTAATTGGTAGCATATGGGAAACGGTGAGGTCTGCCTACATGTCCCCCCGATTATCTTCAAAAATGCTAAAGCTAAAGGCTACTGTCACATACTTTTCCAAAAGGAAAAAGCTAATGCCAAACAAAATCTTTGTTTTGTTCGGTTGATTGCATATACAATGCAGCTTATAGATAGATAGCTAGGTTTTCGTATCCCAAAGTATAATTGAAGCATTTGGTAAACGAACCTATGAGAAAGACACAGAATTTAACTAACTAAACTATCCAATCATGTGAGAAAGACACAGAATTGTCATATTGAGACATGAACTCCAAATAAAACTGGTTAACCCATCCAGACTCCAACTTGAGGCTTTAGCTCCTCTTGATAAGTAGAATTCATAAGCTTCAAACATGTGAAGTTCATGAAACTTACAATAGTGATAATAAATAAAGCTAATGTAATTGGGAAAATGCAACAGGAACCTGATTTTATCATCAACAAAATCCATTTGAGTTCCAAGAACATGCATGAGCGCCTTCGGATCAATTAATACCTTCACACCCTTGTCCTCAACCAATTCATCAAATTTCCCCTTCTCATCTATAAAACCCAAGTTAAAATCCAAACAAGCATCATTCGGCAACACGTTACACACTCAAATACTCCCTCCCTCCCTCCCAAAAATAAGTTTACATTTTATCCTTTTTGGATCTATCAAAATATAGTTTATGTTTCTCCCCTTTCACTTTTATCACAAAATGAATATGCAGCTCTTATAATTTCTTTATCTTCTAAATAAATTTCAACCACGCACCCTTCATTTTGCATCAAATATCTCTTACTTTTCGAAACTTTTCTTAAAATCAGCGAATTGAAAAATTAACTCTGGGACAGAGCATATTATTTAGATGAATTATTAATTTTGCTAAACTGGAACTAACTCTAACTTCGATTTCATGAACCATCTGAGAAAATTAAGAAAAATTTTACAGAAGAAGAAGAGGACGAGATCGGGGTGGCTGACCTGCGTAATTGAGGGTGTACGATAGGCCGTTGCAACCGCGAGCCTTGACGCCGAGCTTGAGGAAAGACCGCTGGCGACGCTCCAACAGCTGCCGGATTCGCGCCGCCGCCGACTCCGTCAAGCTCAGAACTTGCTTTCTCATTTTCCCGAATTCAAGGATTCCTCCGCGCAAGCTTCGCCCAAATTCAAGAAGTTAACCGATTCTGATCCGAAGCGAGGGATAAAAAATGATCTATGAAATTGGATTAGGCTTCTAAGTTCTAACCTAACCTAGGCGGTTAATGCACATTTTGGTGCAAGATTTTTCATACTCTATTTAGTTTTCTTTTTTTTTTCTTTTTACATAAATGGTTTTTAGTTTTTTTAAAATTACTCTTTTCGTTCCATAATTATCATGCTTCTTTTTTTGTTTCGATTTCCCAAAAAAAATTACCTTTCCTTTTAAAAAATAAATTTGTGGTCTATATCAATAATATTTTCTCAACACAAACCACAACCACTAATGTTTAAAAAACGTGCAAGTTAAACCGGGAATATAATTCGAGGACGAGAGTGTATTCTACAATCGATCGTTTAAAACTAAATGTAAAAAAAATATTGGGTCATATTTAGCATAAAAGACTATTTACGAAATAATTTTCAAAAATTAAAGGTCATTTATATAATATTTTAAAAGTGGAGATTAAATATATATAGAAAATGATCTGTTATTAGAGACTATTTATGAAATTCGGTCTTTTTTATTCATCTCAATATAAAGTGTGACATTTTAACTCTTTTGACATTTTAAAAATTAATTTAATAAAGTTTTAAATTAATAAATATTAAACAAAGCTGACATATCAAAACTATATTCTAAAATAAAATGAATCATATTAAATTTACATTATAATTAAACATGAAATATTTTTCTCTATTTGTAGTCAGGGAGACACAATCTGAGAAAAGATCAAAAAGTGACTCTTTTTTTAATCAAAGTGAGTATATGTTGATTAAAATTCTTCAATCATATAATGAAACAAGAATAATTATTAAATATTATCTAGAAATTAAACCTTGTAATTGATTGACTGGGAGAAGACGACATGATCTTGATCGTGGTCGGGTTTCCTTTTAGGGCATGTTCTTTAAGACTGGAAAAAAGAGTTGAATGTTAGAAAAAACTATAAGCTAAGGAACTGAAAGAAAATTGAAGAAACTAGAATGACTAGAAAAAATTAGAAAGAACTGGAAGAAATTAGATGCAAGTGGAAAAACTATGAAAAATTAGAAAATCTTTAAAAAAATTGAAAATTTATTTACGTTTATTTTTTATATTATTCTCATTCTAATTTATTATAATTTATCACTCTGTATCATTATTATATTATTATTATTATCATTATCATTATTATATTCATAATCACGTTATCTTAATCTTTAAGATGAAAGTATTGTCATTTTTCATACACAAAAATATATTTTTGCAAATTGTTTTAATTTTAAATATAAATTTGGCATAAATATTAAAATGTTAAATTTTAAAAAGTTATTATGGTTACGTTGCATACTTGCATCTCAATTTATTTATAGAGTATTTATTATAAAATAATATATTTGTAATTACACTGTATATATTACAAGATTTTATTTTAAATATCAGACCTGTCACTAATGTGATCAAATATATATTTTTATTTCATGATTGACATTGTATTTGCATTGAAACTCTTACTTTGGGAATAAAAATATAGAACTCGTATTTTGGTACACATTTTTATCTTTTACTCTTAGTTTAGTCTTTTTCTCTCAAATATTCTGACTTTCAAAATATCTTATAAAATTTTGATAAATGTTTTCCTAATACCAATTTAGAAGAGTGTGAATCGTAAAAATAGTAACATGGAACAAATAAAAAATGAAATAATTTATATACTATTTTTATGAATATAATAGTTGTAATAATAATAATAATAATAATAACGATAATAATAATCATCATCATGTTAAAAATACATAGTTTTTAGGGTAATTATTTGGGGAGTAGAAAGTGTTTGAAGAAAACGAGAATAGTTGAAAAAAACTATAAGAAACTGGAAGGAACTTAAATGAATTAGAAGAAATTGTAAGTTAAGAGTTTGGGCTCTAAAGAACATGCTATTAGAGTGTATTGTTAAGGATGAAGTTCAAGAATAGAGGGACAAAGAGAACGCTAAAAATCCCTTTTAGGGGTTTGAGTTTGGTAGTGTGATGTTATTATATGTTCTCTTTAAATGTCATGACCTCGATCTAGGTATATAATACACCCAAGCAGAAACTCTAATTAGTATGGTAAGAGTAATTACGTCCATCAAATAATTACTAATAATATAACGGGGACAATTATGGTAATTGATTAAATAATAAGATAATGCCTAACTTTGGTCTAGACACACGATTCTGAGTACTCTCGGGAATATATCAGGTATCATTAAGTTTAATACATTTTACAATTTTCATAAGCAATTCTAAGGTTCCCACAGCTTCAACAAATAATTCTTGTCCACTCCCTATCTCAATTGTTCTTTGATTTCTTTCCAGCTTCAAGATTGTAAGGAATCCCTGAAATGGTCACATGAACCATGGATTCAGAGTTAACCCACCAAGTATTAATTGGAACATCTAAATTAAAGAACTCAATTATCATATTTAGATGATTATCTTTTTTAGACTGCCACTCCTTAAAGTTTGGACATTTAGACTGTTTATATTATGTCATACCTTGCAACAGAACTTGAAGTAAGACTTTGCAATGGAGTTGTTTGAGTGGAAAGGGGCACTTGCATTGATTTTAGGGACCTTTTTAGCTTCATTCTTATGGAATTTGGCTTTCATTTCTTCGAAGCACCAGTAATGACGAAAACAACATTAGGTCCTCTAGTTCAAACACTCTTCTTCTTGAAAAGCCATAACGCTCACTCATCAACCATTTTTCCTTCTGAGTATTATAGTTGACCTTAAAGCTTCAAATGCAAAACGAAGAGAAGTCATGATTAAGTGGACTAGGAAACCTTCACTAATCTCCATGACTAAGTTGACCTTAAAGCTTCAAATACACCATGGTTCCTATGATATTGTATTTTAGTATAATTTTATGGGATGATATTGGCTCCAAATGGGATACCCACGGTGCTTAATTCGTAAGATTGATGATTCATATACTTCTAGTAAACCTTAACTATGCGGTAGAGGTGTTTGTGCGGATCGCGATTGATAAGAACCCTAACTTGTCTCTGAACTAGTAAGTTGATTAAGTAGATGTAAGGAATGTTAACCAAGAGTCCCACACCAATGAGAATGAGAGAGAGAGAGATCTTAATAAATTGATTTCAACCTAACTCGTTAGCATTTAATTTTTGGGAGGTATCCAAAAGTAAATTCGTGAGAAGTTATTCCAAAATGGACAATATCTTACTAATGACAGGAATGGTGGGCTACATTGTGCTGTGTTTTTGAAGTGACTCCGACCAACAAGAGTAGGACTGGATGAGATCTACAGAGGTTGCCTCATGTTGTGCGCAGTTCTTAGTGTAACATTATGCTATCACGAATAAGACCATAAGAGATCTATTATTGAGGATGAATGCCTTGGATTGTGCAGAATTCTCTGTATGACAACTGTAACATGACTAAAGGAGACTTGCACACTAACGACAGAGTAAAGATCAATTTGCAGTTAAAGCTTTGTGTTGAAGCTCTTCTCAATAGAAATTAGTGGGTCGGGTGTTGTGTCCCACAGGATTGTTGTGGCAGTGCAATATGATTAGGAAGTAGAGATCAATTTGAAAAAGTTCTAATCCGATTTGATCTGATTTGATCTCATTCTAATAACAACAACAACCCAGTTAAATCTCACAAGAGTAGGGTCTGGGGAGAGTGTGTGTACGCAGACCTTGCCCCTACTCGAAAGTAGAGAGGCTGTTTCCAAAGAGACCCCCGGCTCAACGTCGAAAATTGCATTGCTTGATTAACTGCTACTTCATTAATTAAAGAAGCGCTATACGAACGGAGTATTTGTGAATAATTGAGTTGCAGTAGTATTCATGTGATGAGGATATTTATACACGTACAGGGCATGTAACTAAGCCTACAAACTAGGAGAACAACCTATACAAGTGGAAGAGAACAAGTCTAATGCTATAAACAAGGGATAAACACACAAGCTACGTAACAACTATTCAAACTATGCATTCTTATCTACTTATCTCTAACAAGCGCAAATAGTTTANAATTAAAGAAGCGCTATACGAACGGAGTATTTGTGAATAATTGAGTTGCAGTAGTATTCATGTGATGAGGATATTTATACACGTACAGGGCATGTAACTAAGCCTACAAACTAGGAGAACAACCTATACAAGTGGAAGAGAACAAGTCTAATGCTATAAACAAGGGATAAACACACAAGCTACGTAACAACTATTCAAACTATGCATTCTTATCTACTTATCTCTAACAAGCGCAAATAGTTTAGATATCCATTTTGATTTATTCCATCACACCCCAAAGCCAAAAACAGGTGAAATTTTTGGCTCCATCGGAGATCTCATTCTAATAAGAATAAGTAATAAATTAAAAAAATAACTTGAGGAGAACATGGTCTAACAAAGCCTTGTGTCGAAAGTCTTTCTGATAGAAATCTGTGGGTCGAATGTTGTGTCCCACAAGGTTGTTGCGATGGTGCAAGATGATGGGTAGATCGAAACAGACAATTGCTGAAATGAAGATTTCAAAGTTATGTGGTCCTGAGTTGAGGAGATTTATTAGGATCAGAATGCAATCTAAGAGTCTCACACAAGTGAGGTGTTGAGAATGTGATCATATGAGAAGAAGACCTCAATAAATGATTTAACCCAATTTATTAGTATATGCATGTCTTTAATGGTGTCAAAAATAAATTCATGAAAGTTTATATTTAATATGGACAATATCATATTAATGTAGATTTTGGGTGAGAGTACGTACGGTTCTTGAAGGAGAAAGGATATGTAAATTTATCAAAAATCAAAACATATTTTTTGAAAGAGGATGGATTACCTCAATCGTACAAGACGGTAATATGAAAACAACAAGTACTCCCTCCGTTCCTCAAAACCCTTCCGGTTTTGATTTTGGGGGAAATTAAGGAAAGTGTAGTTTTGGTTGACTTTCCAATTTTGCCCCTGATGTGATGGGAAAAAGTAAGATGTGATAGTTTGATTATTAGTGAAAAAGTATGATGTGATAGGTAGGGTATGAAAAAGTAGGG